CCTTTTTTTTGACTGAGGAATACATGAAGTGTCTACCTAGTATGATGTCAATTGGGATCAAAGCTTCCAAATGGCATCTCCAGTAGTAGACTGGTTTAAAGGGAAGTGTACAGGGAAATAGTAGAGGCATAGAAGAGATGATAGCTTCTGAGGCTCATTGGGGAAGATGAAATGACAGGAGGACAAGGGCATTCCATCAAGTGGTCTAAGTGACAAACTGTTTAGGTTTTCAAAAACCCATTTGGCTGTCAGCCAGCACTGAGGACATTGATGTTAGTGTTGTCAAATGACCAAAAATGCTGCTTGGTGTTGAGATTGCTGACCCGTTCTGGGCCTTGCTTTAATCTAAGCCCACCCAGACTCACAGATTAAATGCTCAAGTGCACATTCACTGGGCTATCACCAACAGGCTCTGTCAGAAGACCAGTTCCATGTGTAGGACCTAAAACTCAGGCTGATGGATTAGAACAGAGCACATACTCTTCTAGGATATATTAGAAAAGACCAAAGCTCTTAGCCCTTCCTCGTTTCTGAAAAGTGAGTTCCAAGCCTCATATGTTCAAGACTGTAATTTTTAAATGCAAGTTACCAAGGTCAGGGTCTGGGAAGATATATATTCTAAATTGCAATGAGGGATGGGAAGTCAGAAGACAGAGGCTCCTCTGAACTCCCTGTTGGCAAGCTTTATTTGCTTCCTGTTGAGGGTGCTGGCTTTAGCTACCTATTTTTGGTTTCCTTACTCTCTCCACATTCTATGAACGGGCATTATAACAAATAATAGAATGCCAGCATCCTTCACAGGCAAATCTGGCTTGCTGAGTACTTCAGAACACATTTTCCCTTCCAATATAAACAGAGGGAGCTTTACTCCCTTCAGCTGTGATTTTTACCTCATAACATCCTTAGTGCAGTAGGAAATGGGTGACCTGGCTGTAAATTAAGGTCAGAATTGCTGCATGTGTACACATGGTTTCTAGCATCAGATAAATGCACAGATAAACATGTGATAGCTATTTTCATCAATCATGCCCTGGGAGCTTTGCCCACTGTGTTCCCAAGAACAGGGTGCAAGATGCAGCACTCTAAACAAATTCCACACGTTGCAGCAAGTGACCCTTTACCAAAACCGGGGCTGCGAAAAACTGTAATTTCCTTATTAGAATCACATGTCATCACCTTGCCAGCTACATTCTTGAATGCTCCTCAGCTCTTTTTTTGCACTGGCTTCCCACAAATACTGCACATAAAACCGGGGTGACTCACAGCGTCTTTCTGTGTCAAACAATTCTCCGAAAAGGCTGTGCTGGAGTCATTTGATGCTGTGTTTGCTAGTGCCCTGGAGGCCTCCAGGCAATCCCCAAGTCAGTTGAGTTCATGTTACCAGAGATAAGTAGTTGGCACTCAGACTACATGCCTGCACAATTTTGACTTCTTTTCAGTCATAAAGTCATTTTCCAATTTATGTGGAAATCACATATTGCTCACCAAATACAGGAAATGGGTCACATTGCAGTCAATATTCTCCAGGTGTCCTATGGTCAGGTCTGATTGGTGACTCATTCAGAAGTTCCTTTTGGCTTTGTTTCTTCCTAGCTGAGCTATTTGCAGCAAGCAGTGTTTGTGTTTGGCAGATAACCATATTATAAATGTGAGTAAACACTAATTATTTACAAGAGAGATAACTGCCCAGGGGAGCAATGATCACCAGGTTCCTTGATTTCCCATTTTCTTCTTCTGTCTCCTCAAAATTTGGATTTTTGCCCTGTGAAAGAAAACTTCTCAGTTAAAAAGTGGAAAACCGTGAGAGGGTCAGGGAAGAAACAGTTTCTGGACAGCACCCTCAGGGAAGTCTGTTTTCAAAACTTTGAGGACTATATTAAAGTTGGAACTGTGCAGAGTGGGGTTTTTACTTTTTAACCTTGCATCTAAGTTTGCATAGTTCCCTTCATGTTTTTAGGAAGTATTGCTTCAAAGGAGCTCTGAAACTCCCTTTTAGATGACGGATTGAGGCTCTCCAAAACATTGATCTCCATCAGGACTGCTGAAAAAGGCAGTGAACTATCTGAATAACAAGCCTTTACTTACTCAGGTCCTGTTAATCTCAGCTGGCTCCCAAGTGATTAGCAGGGTGTCTGCTGGAGGAAGCTGTGGTGCTCCACATGCAGTTGGCCTTGTCTGCGCTTCCAAGGCATGATCAAGTGGCTTTTTCCGTGGGCCCCAGAGGACTGCATGCTCTGCCTCAGCATGAGGAAGCAGAACAAGATCATCCAAGGGAATGTACTTGTCAGTTGTCTCCAGGATGGGAGATGAAGTTATGCTATCCAGATGAACTCTCTCTTGCTATTGACAACTGAGTGAGCATTTGTTAATGTTTAAATGAAACTGAAGCTGCAGTTGATGTTTAAATTCATTCTGTGTAAAAGCTGCAGTGAAGCCATGAGTCTTTTATCCCTGATTTTTTTTTTATTGATAATAAGAGAAGCTTTATAATCTTAGAATTCACATTTTGAGCACCAACATATTACAATTTCATTGGAGGTTAGTTTGGTCATAGAGAGAGACAATTTTTAGGAGTGTATCTGAAAACTGAAGGTGGGACATTGAAGAGCATTTTTAGACCTGGAAATTGGAGCTCAGCAGATGGAAGGCTGTGATCCCAGAAAAGTAAAAATCCTCTTTGCAGAAGAAAGAAAAGTTTTAACTTTTGCCTGTTTCTGTTTGGATTGGAGGAAGAGTACAGGCTGATCATTAAATCCTATATATCATATATATTCCAAGCCAAATATATCCAGTTGCATGACTGGTCTTTACTGTCTGGTGGCTGTGCCAGCACCTACAGTGGTCACCAGTGTATTTTTGTGCCATTTCATTTGTGCACTCCAGCCCACTTGTATGGACACAAGGCTACAATATCAGCTTTCTTAGGCTTTCAGAAAATGAAGAAAAATGTCCTAGGGATGGAATAGTTGCTCACTCACAACAGGAACACAACTTCAAGTTTGGAATCAACTCGGTACCAGAGCAGCTCAAGACATAGAAACACTGGAGAAGGGGAAAAAATTATAGGCAGATTGCTCTGCTGGAATAGCTACTGCCTGCCTGAAAGCCCAGCCATTGTTTTGGAGCCACTTTAGCTCACTGCCTGTAATGTCAGTAAAGACAGCCCAGAGGCTGGTGAAATCCTCTGTCACATTAAGTTTCCATGTTTCTCATGGTGATGTCAAGTGAGAATTCAAAGAGGAAGTCGATTAACCTGTTATTATACTGGTACAAGAAATGAGTGTGATCTTTCTAGTGCACCCAAAATAATCCTTATCTTTGAAAATGAGTTACTGTGTACATCCATGCTCAAGGGCAGCTCTGAGAGTGCATGAGCTGGGATGAAAGAGCCATCATGCATCTCCCCTTCCTGTTAAGGAGACTGAGTTCTGTTCTGAGCCAGAACAGCTTGCATAAGAACATAAATCCAAATTATGGAAGTTAATTCAATAATGGTGGTGTGTCTAGGCAGGCTTTGAGAATGCCCATGTCAGATATGTAAGGACTCTGCAGAACTTTTGGATTTGTTAATACCAGAAATTTTGAGTCTACTGTCCTTGTGCTCATTAAAATGAGGCCACTACAACAGGCTAGCAGTACTTCACAATAAGTAAAATTGTTTTATTATCATGAACACAGTTCCTCTGTGTCGGTGTCCTTTTGTCTATAAATAGCCATATTTTGCATCCTGCCTTTTGCCCTTTAAAAAAACCAAACAGACAAACCACAAACAACAAACCTCCCCCTCCCCCAGCCAGCCAAGCCCCAAAGCATCAATGGAGCACAAAGAAGCTCCTCTGTGCCAGCTAACCAGCCAGTTTGGTGTAGCATAAGGTGCAGCAAAGGAATGAATGTGACTTGTTGTGACTGATTAAGAGGGGCAAGAAAGGAGCATGAGGAACAATGAGTGCATGCTGTGTGGAGTGTGCATAGTCCTGGAAAGTAAGAGAGTGAAATGCTGCTGAAATATTGATAGGGTGGATAGGATCTGGAATGATTGACGGCATGTGTGTGTGTCTTGGCAAGTTTAATTGGATTTGTTGGGGTAGAGGGTGGAAGAATGTGGTGCATTTCCTTTTATGGGTTTCTTTTTTTCAGCCTGTTCTTTTCTTTCCTATAGAATTGACATTCAATGCATATACTTTTCATTGTCTGCATAGAAAACCTGGTCTTTATTCCCCTAAATTTTAAGGTTGAGGGAGCTGCGTAGAGGGGATGAAAAGAGATGTAAAACAGCTTTCATTGCTTTTTATTTACTACTTGTCTTCACTCTTCTGTGAGCAGTCATGCCTAGTAAGAGTGGTGACTTGGAGAGGAAAGAAAAAAATAAAGTATGTAATTGAATGGCGGCTAAATGAATTTCAGTATTATGATTCCCATTGTAACAGGGATTCTTCTGTGAGGACTTCTGTATATGCTGTACTGAGTATTACTTTTTTTTTCTTTTTGGCTTATCATCAGTAACCAGTTTCCTATCATCCTGTCACAAGATGGGAAACTGGGGCTCTATACACAAAGGTCTTAGTGAGTGATGAAGTCCAGATCCCCCAAAATGCTGATCACCCCAGTGCCCATTAAGCCTTCTAACTTTTGCTGAAACAAGTAGGTTCCTGTGGAGAGCTGCCTTAGTTGCTTTGATGCTCAAAGCCTGGATTTCCAACAAGTTTCCAGCCACAATGTATGTGGGTTTTCTCTGCAAGGCTGTCTTTTAGCCTTCTGTTCTCCCTCATGCCTTTCTGCAGCACGAGTATACTGTGCTTTTAAGCAGAACTGTTGAATCATCTGTTCTCTCCCCAAGTGTGACTTCCCATTCTGGTACAAACCAATAGTTCCTCTGATGTCAAAACTACTCTTGATTGCTTATTTTTGTAAAGTTGGGGTTTTTTTAATGGGCTTTGGTTTGTTTTCTGTTGTTTTACAGGGCTTTTTTTGGTTTGGGTTTTTTTTTTTTGCATGGATTTTGGTGTTGTAGGTCAGAGAGCTGATGCTGAGGATGACACTTCCAAGGTGTCTCCAAGTGAGAACCGCAATAGCTGCACCTGGGCTCAGTGGGAGAGAAGCCTGGTCTGAGTGTGAGTGAAGGAGCAGTGAATCCAGGAGGCTTCCCTTGTGTGGTGAAGATGGACAACTACTGACAGAGGACACTGCAACAAAAGGTAAAAATTTTCACTTGTTCCTGTTCTGAGTTCAGTGTGACTCACTAGCCAAAGACTTGGTAATCCCTTCTCAAACTTGTGATCTTTCCAAGCCCTTGGGCATATACTTCAGAGCTTTTGTTTCTTCCCTTCTTTCTGCTTCACTCTGCCCCATGAGCAAGCTTAACAGTCTGTGAAAACCAATGGGCTGGTAGCTATAAGGAGGGGGGACTTAATGACATGTTCAGTCATCTCTGAAGAGATGAAGCCAAACATGTGTCTGGTAGCAGGATATTTTTGGAGCTGTTTGTCTATTTTCAAATAACAAGTTTAATGTAATAATGTCATTACACAGCTCTAAATTCAAGGATGTGTTTTCACTGGAACACAATAGAAGCTAAGCTATCAGTCAGATAGCTCATTTTCATTGCAGTAACAGCCAGTTTCAGTGCCAGAAGTATTTCTGAATTTTGCGCTTTTACTTACTTAAGGCTGCTTTTGGTGTGAGATAAATGTGTCTTCCTGAGAACAATTAAAGACTTCTGGAGAAAAAAGAGGCAAAATAAAGGAGAACAGTCTTCTTTGTTTGTTTGATCTGATTTGTTTTTGTTAGTCTGTAAGCTAAATTCAATTTCTGAGTAATATTGTTGATGCAAAAAGCCACACATCATTTTTCTGCTCTGGATATTGTACCTTCTTTCTTATGGCAAACCTGCATTTCAGGGAAAAAACCCCAAACAGCAAAGGTATCATTCATGAAGAGTCAACCAATGTCTTTATTGCTTCAGTAATCAACAAACATCTATCTCTGCTTGCTGCAAATTTTCTCTCATTGCACCAAATGTTAACTCTTTAATCTTAGCACCCTCTGCTGTGGACAGCTATAACAACATCATGCTGAGTTATTCTTGGTTTATAATTTGTGTATTTATTTTGGACCAAAGGGTCCACAAATGCAATAAAACTTCTGTCAATGGAACTGCATGAATATGATATGAAAAATGTATTCGTTTTCTTGTGTTAATCTGGCAGGTAACTTTCTTTTCAATTGTTTACTGAAAAAAAGATGTGTGGAATACAAACAAAAAGCTTGAAATTCTTGTAGATTAGAGAGGATCCCAAAGCATAATCTTAACCTTCTCAAAAGAGAGGTGTAGGCAAGCAACCTTGCTTCAATCTGGAGATCAGCTCCAGGTTACTGAGTTCATAAGAAAAAGCCTATGTTTGCCACATGCACTGACCATATCACATCTACCTCTGTCGATACCACTTCCAAAATGTCAAAATAGATAAGAAGGGAAGAGTGAGTATGACATATCTGGGGTGCATGGCCACAGTATCACCAGCTGGACAAAAGAGGTGACTGTCCTGCTCTGCTCTGCATTCATGTGGCCTCACCTTGAGTCCTGGGTGTGTGTATATATATGGGTGTATAAGGATATATATGGATATATATGGGTATATATGGAGATATATATATATATATAAAGTCCAGTATAAAACCCCTATTATTAAGACCCAAAGGAGGGCCACAAGAATGCTGAAGTGTCTGGAGGTGAAGCTGTAAGAGAAGCATCTCAGGTCAGGTCACTTTAGCCTGGCCAAGAGGAGACTGAGGGGAGATCTCAGTGCAGCTTCACCTTCCTCAGGAGGGGAAGAGGAGGGGCAGGCACTGATTTCTTCACTCTGGAGAGCAGTGACAGGATTTGAGGAAATAGTCTGAAGCTGAGGCGGGGGAGGTTTAGGTTGGGTATTAGTAAAAGGCTCTTCACCAGAGGGTGGTTGGACACTGGAAGAGCTCCCCAGGACAGTGGTCACAGCACCAAGACAAACAGAAATCAAACAGTGTTTGGACAATGCTCTCAGATTCCTGGTGTGACTCTTGGGGTGTCCTGTGCAGGGCCAGGAGTTGGACTCGATGATCCTGATAGGTCCCTTCCAACTCAGCATATTCTATGTTTCTATGATATCAGCCTAATTTATAATAATAATACAAAAAGAACTTCAATTATACTTTAAAAACAAAGTTTGTTGCTGTATCTTTCTACTAACCAGTTCAATTTTTTTAATCTCTCAGTAGCAGGAGAGGATTACATTTGATTTTAGCAGAGTACAGTGTGAAAACTGAGCGAAGAAGCTATTTCTAGAAGGTAAGTTGAGAATGACAAATTCTTTCACATTTGATTACAGACAAAGTATTTTTCCTCCTTCATTAAGCTTTTTGCCCTATATCCTCAGTAGGAAACGCTGCTTCCAGTGAACCTTTCTTCTTTCTTCTCCTTCATCTCACATTTCGAACATTTCTCCAGCTCTTGTGAGGCTCGGATGCCAACCTGATGGCTTTCCCAGAAGGGTACTTTTGAAAAATGCAGTAATTTCAGAATACACATAAGCAGTTCTCTGTACTTTAAGTGTCTTCTCTTAAATGATTAAGTATTTGATATCAACCCTCCCTTCATATTTTCTGTTTTCTAGAAAGCAGCATGTGTAACAGCAATAAGAGTAAGAATCAGTCTTGCCCTTCTAACTCCAACTCCATCTGCTGATCACTCATATGAGAGTTCTAACATCAGAGCTGCTTCCGAGCATTGTTGAAGATGTGGAACAGTAAAATCTTTTTTGTCAAGCCTCCAAGACCAAATAGCACCAGAGATGAAATTTTGAATATGTTGGTAACACTGCTCTATTGATCTCAAAACATTTTACAAACATTAACTAATTAAGCTTTAAAACAACAAAATAAGTTTGCATTAATGACACCCATTTAGCAGATCAAGAAGTGGAGGTAAACAAAGGGTAAGTGAAATGTCCAGTCAAGTGATGAGTGAAGGTCAGAGGAAGGTCTCCTGTTTTCTATTTGTTCCGCTTTTATTGTGATCTCATTGAAAAAAATTTTGCAGTGGAGCTTGCAGCCATTTCAGTTTGAAACATTTGGACATTTTATCACAATCTTGAGCTTTTCTTGCAAGAATCAAGGTAATATAAAAGCTCATAAAAGTAATAAACGTTTTTAGGCTCTCTGGTCCAGCTTTGATTTTCAAAAGGCAATTTCTTATAGTGGAATGGGGCCAGCAGTGGTTGTGGGGTTTTCTGTGTTGTGAGCCTTTTTTTCTCATTTGCGTTTTTCTGGTGGTGCTAGATGGACAGAAAAGTGCCTTAACCTTCAAAATGGGAGTCCCTTCATGTGGGCTTTACACTGATGTCATGCATCTATCCCACCCTTCCTATGGGAGGACTAAGGCCTTCTCAGGGGATTGCTCTGCTCTGGTGAGCACAGCCAGTCCCTGAGCCTCAGGGGCTCTTACAGAGTAGAATGGCTTAGAGTCAGTGGAGCAACCCTGGATTAAAATCAGTGTTAAAAAGTGGGGGATCAGGCACACAGTAAGTGAATCATACACAGCAGTGCTGACCCTCACAGAGAATGATGGCTTAGAGCAGATTCCTTGGAGACCTTAGGTTATCCTTGGAAAGGGAGGCCTCAAAGCCAAGCCTTATACTTTCTTAATGGGTTTCATTAGGAAGAAATAAAAGGAACTGAAAAAAAAGAAAATGTAGCTTAAAAAGGAACAGCTTCGGTACAGTCTAAAATTTGTTCCATTTTTCAATAAAAGAAGCCAATGCTGCCTTGAAATTCATGTCCCTTCAAAGTTCAAGGAGGCCTGTATTGTTGGCCTGCTCAGTCAGAACGCTCCAGCCACTTATTGTATGTGGAATGCACTCCAGGGAGTGACTGAAAAAATATGATTTAGTGAAAGCTTGTACCCAAAACACATCATTGGCCTCTGATCTCTGAACATTTAAATATTTCAAGCTTACAAGCGGACGCTGTCACGAGGACAGACCCTGATCCCTAGCTGATTCTAGAACATCTGTTGAGGCATTTACCAAGTTAATAGATTAGCTATGAGAATCAGGCAGGTGTTTTTCACCAAAGCCAGAAAACATCAAAATCAGATTGCCCTCCAAGTCTTTCAGCACAGGCAATCGAGTTAGAATGACTCATAGAGTCTAACAGATAATAAAACACACATAACATTTGCTTTAAGGTACAGGTGGGGATATTTTGTACTGCACTTAGGAGAAAGAAAAACTAACTCTATTTGGGAATAGAGTAATTGAATACAGATGGGAGGAGGCAAATGAAAGAATTTAGCAAATATCTCAGTGGAATAGCTAATGGGAACGAGACAGAATAGGAAATTAAAAATTATTCGAAGCAGATGGACCATTCTTTGAGTTTTTTAAAATTTATTAGGGCTGCGAAAAAAATGTGTCTGTTTATTTTCCACGGCCATGAAATTAATGACTTGGTGAGTTGTGCTTGTGCAATTTTATGACTGCCATGTCATTTGTCATAATTTGGGTTCTGTTTGATATGGATTTATGAATATTTCCTCCCCCCAGCATGATTTATGGGTGTTGGTCATATGTGAATTAGACTGTCACCTTTAGTATGAAAAAGTACAAATGACAGATTATAAAAAAAAAAAGTGCTCAAGTCCTTAGTGCTGGAAAGCAGAGTTCACGATTCCCTGCTCTGCTTCTTCATTGGAAGTTTTTGTTTGGAGCTGACGATTAAATGTTTGGACTTGAGTCAAGCATATGGAAACATTGAGAGGGCTTGAATAGATCTGAACTCATCTGAACTTCACCTGTGAAACTCAGCTTGAGTCATCCTTTCCTTGTATTATGCATTGAAAATAAAAAATCTGTATGCTACTTGCTGTAGGAACAACTGATTTACTGTACCAGAGCAGCAAGTTGGCCTTGAAAATTTGCTGTCCTGCTTCCAGTAGTGGCTAGCTGTGGTGAAGCTTCCATGAAAAGTGGAAATAATCTTACACAGTATGTTCAGTTACGCAGCACTGCATAGTTGAAAGAGTGAAATGAAAGGACATATGAAACAGGCTGGATTCCTGTAATAATAATAGTATTCTAGGTTTAGATCCAAAGCACTAACTTTTATACTAGCTGTTATCACTTCCATGAAAACTACTACTCTTTGCTTTTTGTTTTGCAATGCGTAGCAACAGCGTGCACGAATTTAGGACAGGAGAAGCACAGTTGCTCCTGGATTTGAGCCAATTGAGTTGAACCACTCAAACCATTGAGTTTCAAGCATGAAACTATGGCACCTAAGTTAGTACCTAATCACCCAAGGCTCCCCCATTGATGCTGGAAAGTGACATGCACCTCCAGAGGCTAATTCCGCCCACGTGTCTTCATCCATTGACTACACAGACAGAGAAAAAATGAGTACCGCTTCCTCATTTAGTTCCCCAGTTTGGTCTAGAAATTCTTGTGGGAGGAATTAGAGGCCAGCATGGGATACAGCTTTAAAAAGAAGAAACAATACACCTTGAGTGTCAACAAGGCGTTTCCAAGCATATTGCATCCTGAGCTAGCATTTCCTTTATGAGGGATAGAAATTCTACAGTTCTTACACAACTGTATGCTGCAGGCCCAGACAGCACTGCTTTTCCAGTGGGAGGCTGATAATTCTTACTGAGTATCTCTGCACTTGTGGAGAAAGGATGGTTACTTCACAGGGAACCACCAGGGCAGTCTTTGCATGGCTTTCTAGCACCTATTACCTCTAAAGCTAGCTGAGCTCCTCTTTTTTTTGCTTGGTTATTTCAATAGTTAAGCAAGAGCCTGCTTTAGCAGGTCATGTCTGCTGTTGTGATGGTAGCTGAGATGCTTTACATGGTGATATGCAGCTGCACAGAACTGGACTACCTTGCAAAAATAAGCCTGGATCATTTGTATTTGAATTAAAGTCCAGTAATCGTAGAATCATAGAATCATTTAGGTTGGAAAATACCTTTAAGATCACTGAGTCCACCATTGTTACTTTGATTACACATCAGGAAACCTGCACAACTTTTGGAGAAAGCTTGGCTTGTGAATTGTGGTATATTTATATGCATCAGAAATATTTTATTTGCTTTGGCTTATGAAGCTTGTATTCATCTAGCATATCTAATCAACCTATTCCTATGCTCCAAAGTTACTTTCACAGAGTAAAAGTAGCTGGTCTTTAAGTTGACTTGCAGATTCAAAGGGCAAATTTTTCAGAAGATAGAAAACTGAAAAAATTTCAGTATCAGTTAAGTTAAATATTTTATTTAAATGAAAATAAAATGTGCTGTTAAGGACTTACTTATGTTAAATAAGTTTTTTTCCTTATTTGAAAAATGATTCTGAACAAGCTCTTTATGAATCTTCTTTTTCAGAAATAGTTTTTTTTAATTACCGGAAGTCAATAATTTCAATTCTTTTCCAATATTACAGGGTGTTTTTTTCTGCCTATATGGAAATTAGGAAATTGAAGCAAATTTGCAGAACCTTTCAACAAGCCTGCATTTATGCCCTCCATTTTTTTTTTAAATTTTTTTGTCAAAGCATTGAGTCTAGATTAATTCTCTTAGTTACTTTTCTGTTTTCTCACTCACTGGATGGATTGTCTTGTAAATTTTGCATTATGTTTCACCATATTTTGAAGTCAGTGAAACAAAAAATCCTTTTCTGTAAAAACAATTATACTAGGTTTGGGGTGGAAAGAGGAGAATATGAGTTGTTGGATAACAGTAGTGCTCTCACTGAGCTTAGATTGAAGCTGTTTTGCTGTATCTGGCACTTAAAAGGCCAACCTGCTCCTACCCTGTTACCATAAAGAAATTTGCCAGGAAGGCAGGTGTCTAACTATACAGGCAATCAGATTACAGAGCAAAGTAATCATGATTTCCGATTTTCAGCATAGGTTGCCACATTAGCACATGTACTTTGGAAGAGAGGGAGAAGTAATCACAGCAAGATAAGGACAAGGGTGGAGATCATTTGAACCAGTACTGTTATAATAGGGTAGTAAATTTTATGTAGCTTTTATTAAACCATTTTGTTTCTTTTATACTAAAAATAGGGTAAAGCTATCTGAAAATGAGAAAATTCCCGAGTTTGCTTTCATTTGTTTTTAAGAGTTACTGAAACGTAGCAGTGTGTTTCTTGGGAGGCACCATTTGCACACACATGTCTGCAACTCTGAGCGAGTCACAGCTGCAGAGTTTCTTTAAGGCATGCATGCTTGGCTTTGACATGTTGAGATTTATGGTGAGATTTAAGTTCTTGTACCAATGGTGACGTTTCCTGAATAGTTTTCATCCAGATGGTCTCCAAGAGGATAAGGTTTAACAAGATTTATTCACTGAGAGGGGGCAATGTGAATTAAAATTACAAGGGGTACTGTATATACACTAATTCTTTGCCATTCACTGCCTCGTGAAATGTAGAAAATCCTTGCTCTTCATTCCCCCCAAACGAAGTTAAATGGAGTTGCTTCTTTCAACATACTGTTCCACTCTGAGCAGATTAGGGCTCTGGCAAACAAGTGCTATTAATTTTGCTGGGGTGGAGGAAGGGGTTACTGCCCTTAATGTCTACCCTGCCACTTTGCCACAGACTTCCACCTTACTAGTGGAGGCAGCAGATGTAAGCAAGTGCCAGTTTATCAATTGTTACAGTTTGCAGACCATTGGCAGTTAAAATTAATGTGCTGGCTCAGAGCTCTATGGGTGAAGGCTGGACCATATCGCTTTCTGATGGCTCTGTTTCAGCTTCTGGTGGGGGACTGCTGCAGACAGCTGGGAGAGGTAGCCTCTTAAGCCATTATCACTAAATCCAGCACAAGCTCTCTGAGTGAGCTCCAAGTCTTCAGCCTTTGAGAGCCATTAGGTCTGCTTGCACTATTTGGGGTCCTGAGGCTGTATTTTCAATGGGTTACTTAAAATGAGTGGAGCACCAACAGTTTGTGCAGGCTGAGTATCCAGGCATGCTAATTCAGGTTATGATTGCTGAACCTAGATTTTCTGGAAAATTATACATATTATAAATGAAAGAATTGATGTAATTTCATACTAAAACCTTGTAGGTTTTTATAAGGCTATTGACTCACAGTGAAACAATTCAGCATGTGCTTAACTGCTGCAAGGTAAGTATCTTCATTGGAGAAAACTAATAGGCAATGATGCCATGCTTAAAGCTAAACCATTTATAAGCATTTTGCTGGACAGAGTTTTATTGTTCAGGTTTTTCTTTTAAAAATACTGCGAAGTGACTATGGAAGCTATAGAATTAGAGGCTTATTCAAGTTCTACTTAGAAAGAAGTTAAGTCAAGGTATTAGAGGTCAGTGTCCTTTAGCCATTTGCCATTTTTCTCATTTGCAGGCTGTTTCGTCCCCATATCTAGAAGTATTGGGTATCTTAGTATCTTAGCTGTTAACAATTTAGCTTCTTTAGCAGGATCAAGACATTTCAGTTTGAATATCATATCAAACCAAAACTTGAATGACAGAAGGCAACAAGTTCATCCTAGAGGAGCATTTATAGGAAGACAGAATGTCCTGCTTGACAACAAGAAAAAAATAATTGACAGCATATTTCCTTTACCACTTTGAGCATGTTCAAGGTTGGTGGGGTTTTTTATTATTTTACTTTTCTACCACATATTATTTGCGGAAATATATTTCATTCATTGCCTGTTGCCAGTTGAGCTCTAACATAAGAGCTTCACAATCAATGATTGGTCTTGAGTCCTTCAGTGTCTGATTTGTCAATCTGTGATCCTTTTATTTTTGAAAGGTAGCTACTCAGTGTTTCATAAAATTGTCTGCACTTCATATTGTATCAATTTCAGCAGTTGGAAGTACAGGTACTGAAAACTCACTAATTGCTTTTATAAAAATGGGCTGGTGAACAATACATTTTTAAAACAACAGGAAAATAAAAAGGAAAACACTTTGTGATTGTTCTTTATGTCTAAGAATGGACAGTCTGCGTAAGATGTAAAAGAGTTAGTAATTGTAATGAAATAGACCTCACTCTATTGTAGCAAGTTAAAAATGTGCCTCTTGCCGCAGAGCTTGCATTAATATTGTTTGAGAGAAGTAGCATCAATGCACTGTAATAGACTTTTATTAATAGGCCAGAACAGTCATCAGTCTCTGGGTTGGTGTGATAGCTGAATACAGTGAACATGAGCATCTTGACAAGCAAGTAGCTAAATCTATCAATCACTTTTAGCATGAAGATGCTGTGATAATTTGGTTTACACTGGTAATAAAATATGGATAAATAAAGTGTTCAAAGCCATGGAAAATGTAGGGTCCATAGTGAATATCCTATGAAATATAAAAGAGGGCATCACCATCAATTCATCTAGCTGTGTATACTGAAATCATTATTCTCTTGACCCATCTTGCTATTTTTAGAATAAAATTCATGCATTTTTCAATCAGCACTGTTCAGTGGTAAAATCACTCCAAGGCTTAAAGCCTAGGTTGGATTCTTTTCCTGCTGTGCTCATGTGCAAGGATGTTCAGGTTGATGGTGCTGATGCCCTTGGCACAGAAGTGTGGTGGCAATATTTAGTTTGTGCTAGTCACTTTTTCTTTCCAGTGTTGGCCAGATAAAGATTGGGGTGTGCTCTGCTTCCTTTCATGCTGCTCTGTGTGGGTGGTTGGCTCCATTTATTTCAGCAGAGTTACTCTAAGTTTATGGTTTAAGGAAATACAAACTTCCTGGTCTAGTGGCTTTTGGTGTTAATGAGTCAAAGTCTCCTGGACTGAGAAATGATCTTTCATGTGACTTCTGGGGAAAAATAGTCTCGATTTTTTTTTTTTTTTTTTTTTTTTTTTTTTCTGTTCTAGGGTCTTGTCACAGGAAGACAAACCTTGTGTAGTGGGAATCCATTGCATTTACATCAAGTTTCAATCTCTTTATAATTGCAGGTTAATCTATACTTTAGCA